ACTTTTAGATTTAGTTGAAAACTTTTTTATTTCCTCTTTTAAGCTACTCATAGTGATGGCTGCAAGTTCTACAACTGTGAGTTAAATGCACAAAAGGTCGCTACTTCCCTTAATAGCCTCATCAGAAAAGAGTTGACTGCTTACTTTCTAAACATCTTCATTTATTTTCCTTTAAGTTTACTCTTGTCTCTCTAAATTTCAGAAAATACATTCTGAATAAAACTTATTTTTCTGTCAAGATAAAAACTTTCCCGTTTATACAAAAGTGTTTCAGATTGATTAATTCAGTACTTATCCTTTGGTTCACTGATTTGATGGGATACTTTCTCAAATGTTCACTCCTTAAATCACCTTCTCAAATGACCTCATTTTCATTTTTAGGAGGGGTAAATATTTCCATTATAAAGTACAAAGCTTTTTAAAATAGTTCAGGTATAGTTCATTTGATGAATGGGTCCATCGAGAAAAGTTGATTCTTTCTGAGATGTAGTCAGCCTGAAAGGAATTTTTAAAAAACTTTTAATACTTTATACTCATTTGACATTTTAAAAATGCAAGAATACCTATAATTTTTCGAATGAAAATTTTTGATTGTATGTTTATAATTCACCAATAACTCCTAATGGGTGGCCATTTTTTTTCTAGTTATCAGAGCCATTTTTTCACTTCAGGGAAAGCCTCCTGCTTCAAATAATAATAATAAGAACCCAGCACTCTAAATGAAATCCTGAAATTTGAAATCAAACACTTTTATTCCACAAATACACAACTGAGTTATGACAGAGGGAACACAGAACAGCAGAAGGGACAAAAAAGAAAAGTAAGTCATATTGTCATAGAAATAAAATAATAAAATATGTTCTACTCAGCCATATAAAAGATATATAATTGTCCTGACACAGACAAATTGAGAGTATTCTTTCTTATATTAAAGTCTAATTCTGGCTCTAGCTGGGTTGACTCAGTGGCTAGAGCACTGGCCTGTAGGCTGAAGGGTCCCAGGTTCGATTCTGGCCAAGGGCATGAACCTAGGTTGCAAGCTTGATCCCTAGCCCTGGTCAGGGTATGTGTGGGAGGCAACCAATCCATGTATCTCTCTCACATCAATGTTTCTCTCTCTCTGTCTCTCCCCCTCCCTTCCACTCTCTCTAAAACGCAATGGAAAAATATCCTTGGGTTTGGATTAACAACAAAAGGCTAATTCTGACAAAATATAATTGTTGAGTTGCTTTGTTGACAGATTTCTTTCAGAAGACTAAAAAAGCTGGTGGAGATATACTATACAAGTTATATGGCCAACAAGTAATGTGAAAAACATACTTATGATGGGGAATTCAGCAGAAAATGATCTCATCATAAAAGACTTCTAAAAGTAGAGAACAACTAGGCACCATTACATATGTATCACACTTTTTAAGAGGACAGTTCAAAACATAAAAAGAAGGTATAACCCCACACCAAACCAATGGCTAAGTGAAATGGCTCACAAGAGATGGATCTTCCTAAATTCCATTTAAATACCTGTAAACAATTCCAATAATAAAAAAGAGGGAAGTATCCAGTGGGTTTGCTGAATGACTCTCTGGAGAGAAGTTAATGGGGCTAAAAAAAAAATAGGATGAACATAACAGAGCAGCAAAATCATACAGATATAGTACCAGGAATGAGAAAACTAAAACACACACACACACACACACACACACACACACACACACACACACACACACACACACGAAGGCTTGGGAAAAAAATGCCTAAACATAACAAAAGGTTTTATAGCTACATTTAAATAAATGATTATTATCCCACCTTATACTGAGCACTTAATCCTACAAATATTTCACATACTTTATCTCACAATATCTCTTTGGAATTTGTTGGGGCAAACATAATTTCTGCAGGTGAGAAAACTGAAGCACAAGCAGATAAAGCAATTTGCCCGCCATGGCTATTAAGAGACGGGGGCGGGGGAGGGGGAATTCGGACCCAGGTTTGGTAAAATACACTATTTCTCAAAGAGAACAAGGAACTGAGAGAATCTCTGCTCAGAGAGGATGTTGTTAAGGTTGAAAGAGTACGTAGAGAAGGCAGAATTGCTCAACTTGTATTTTGTTTATCTTCTCTCAGTTTTCCAACTACGGTTGCAGAAGAACATTGAGAACTGAAACCTGAGCCTGGTGAATAACAGAGACTAAAACAACTTAATGTGAGTGTAAATCTTCAGGTCCAGATGCAATCCATTCCATATTGCTAAAGCAATAAACAAGTGTAATCACAAAGCTGCTATAATCTTGGAGAAAGAGCTCAGAAAGAGAGAACTAATCATGGCCTGGAGATGGGTCAGAGTTGCATCAAGTCTTGGGGGCTGGCAGGAGTGGGAAGCAGATTTCAGAAATTACAGACAAATAAATTTAATATTAAGCCTTAGTCAAAGCTGAGAATAGGTTATATATGAAATGGTTTTTGAATACCTAAGAATGGTTTTGAATATAATGATCACTGGATATCAGCATGAATTCAAACAGAACAAATAATGTCAAATCAACTGCACTTAGATCTTGGAAAAGAATGATTTCTAGATTTCTAATAATCGCTCACAGTTATTGAGCTCTATCTGTCAGACACTTTTCTAAGCACTTTATATGTATTACTTCATATAATCCTTCCAACAACCCATTTTATTTTATTTATTTTTAAAAAAATATATTTTGATTTTTTACAGAGAGGAAGGGCGAGGGACAGAGAGTCAGAAACATCGATCAGGTGCCTCCTGTATACTTCCACATGCTCTTGACAGGAATTGAACCTGGGACCTTTCAATTCGCAGGCCGACACTCTATCCACTGAGCCAAACCGGTTAGGGCCTAACAACCCATTTTATGGTTGAGAAAACAGAGGCTTAGAGATTAGAGTACTCACCCAAGATCACACAACTGGCAAAACCAGAAGAAAAAAAAATAGTGTATTCTGGCCAAAACAGTACTCAAGATGGTTTTCCAAGTGACTTTTGTATATATGTTGCCTGAGTGTGACTTGGATAAGCTTGCTGCTCTATCAACTTAGATGAGAAAAGTCTTTAGGAAGGGCCTTGGAAATCTTTCCTTGGAATCTGACAGGTCAAACATCATTTCTGCAGGTGAGAAAACTGAAGCACAAGCAGATAAAGCAACTTGCCCACCATGGCTATTAAGAGATGGGGAGGGCATTCGGACCCAAGTTTTAGAAAACATACTATTTCTCAAAGAGAACAAGGAACATGCTTCCAAAACTCTAAGATTCTACAATCTGGGAAAAATAAAGTAAAATTAAAGTGAAATGTAACAAGGATGTGTGTAAAGCTTTACATTTAGTTTCAAAAAGTTAAATGTGCAGTATAGAAATGGAGAAATGCTTCTTAGAAACTGTTCATAAGAGGAGTTATAAACCCAAGAGTCTAACAGGGGCTGCTACTATAATGGGTGACTAAAAGAACTGCAAACTTAAACCCCCAGGACACTGAGAATACATCTGCATCAATCTGTATACTGGTTGCCAGTCAGCCTACTTTACTAGTGTATTCATTTCTACAGTCCACATTTTTAGAGCTGTATTGATTTTTTAAAATAAGATAATGATGAAAACAATGGCATGTGACAAAATATGCTTAACAAAACCAAACAGAATAATGGTCTTCAAATATTTGAAAAGGTGTTAAGAAAATAATAGGTTTTATTCAGCATCACTGCAGAGGATAGAAGTAAACTGAAAATAACAGCACTACTTATTTACCTCACAGGTTGTTGTGAAAACTGAGCTAAGTACCTACAGTATTTAGATGAAAGAATTAACTAAGCTCCTACTTTATGCTAAATAATGCAACTGAGATACGATACTTTATTAAACCTTTGCAACAACTTGGGGAGATTTATTTAATTCTATTTTATAGAAAAGGAATTAGAGCTTGAGTAGTTGCTTGTCCAAAACTACCCAGCTAATAAGTGATGGGACTGGGTTTCAAACAAAAGTTTCCCAAAACCATTGTTCCTTCTACTATTTCATCCCACCTCCAACACCACAAAAATGGAACAGGTTTTCTTATGAGGCAATGAGCTCCTTAAATATACCTGACTTGAGTGTGAATTTTAAAAAGCTGATGTCATTAAAAAAAAGTAGTAGAAATATCTATGAGTAATGTGCAGGTTAAATATTACAAAATACAAGATATTGCTATGTTCAATAATAATTTAATTTTAATAGATGTCTTCCACTAAATTTTCATTTTATTACACCTGTTAAAACTAGCCAAATAAAATAACTTTCTAGTAATACAGTCTACTAATTTATCAGAATTATTGATAACTATTAATAAACTACATAAATGTTACACTTATAAACAAAAAAAATATTTTTAAAACTTTCAGCATGAACACAAATAGAAGAAATTAAGTGAGCTGTCATATTAGCTTCTGCCCACTCATCCCATCTGTTTTTCCTCTCCCTGTTTTGTTTTATGGAACTCTGATTTGCTTTGTAAGATGCAACAAGATGTAGGGTACAAAATATTAAAACTAAATATACGAGAAATCTAAAAGCTCTAATTTATTTTGCCTTTATGCTTCAACGAGAAAACAGACAATAGTACACATAAATTTTCATCAATTAGGTGTATCGGTTTCTAACATCTATGAATTGGCAAGCATTTCTAATACGCTTATTTGAAACATCTGGAATATGCTTTTGGGGAGCTTTCTGTCACATAGCCCATTCAAATAAGGTCATATAATCTGTCACCTTTGTTGGAGGGAATACAAAGATATCTTCAGCTCAACCTACCCTATTATTAGAGACAAGTAAAACAAAGGCCCTGGAGTTTAGGGGGTTTTA